TCGGAACCATCTGTGACGACGTAGATGGGACCGCCTTTTCCTCCCGTGGTCTTGTACCCGAAACCCTGGACACAGTCGGCCAGCTTTTGGCGATTGTTGGCCCAGTTGGGATCGCACCGCCAGCATCGATCGATGGGGTTGGTCGCCAAACATTTGCCCATGTACCTCTTCATGCTTCGTCGAGTTTCGTTCGACCCGAATAGGTCCATGTGAACCATTGTGTTGAAATGTTCTGTCACGTTGTACGGGTCCGGGTGGTACGTCTCCAGAGCCACCCGTTTCGCCTCCTCGGCTCGTTGTTTCCAATAGTTGTCAAAATCGGCAATGTGAGCGTCAAGGAACGCTACTAACGTCGTGAACATAACCAAGAAAAAGGAAAACTTAATAGATTGGGAAGCCATGTTAGAGAATTTTTTTTTTCTCTCGTTTTTGTGTGTCTGTTTTTTTTTATCCCTGGAGAAGAAGGGTCAAATTCCCAGGCTTCAAAGCCAAGGTCCTGAAAGGTTCAGGACCGCAATTGGCTGTCCGCGCCAACGGACAAACAGCCAAAATGAGAGGATTTTTTGGGGTTTTTTGGGGGTTTTATTTTTGAGAAGCCTGGGAGCTAACAAAAGATGGCTGGCATGGATTATATATATACACAAGCGAGAAAAAAAGGAACTAATTAGAGTAAAAAAAAAAATGATGGAGGAAATAGAAGGGAACATTAGGCGGGAAGTGTGGAGTGCCAGGCATATATCGTCATTTTTGTCTTCCTATTCTTTCGTTTTAGTGCTTTCCCAATTATTTTTCGCAGTTATCTTTTGTGTTCTAGCTTTTGTTGAAGGGTTCCAATGATTCTCACTAACACAATATATTCTTTCAGCTACTATTCTTCACTGTTAATTTTAGGTTATCAAACTTTTAATACATGACATGACAAAAATTTCACGAGCATAATTCTTAGGTAGATATCTCTTTTTTTTTTTTTTAACGCAATCCGCCATCAAACTAGAAATATTAGTAGTTTATGGTTTACCTATTAATCATTCTTGAACCAATGGTTAATCGTTTCATGAATCGCTTATGCATGTAAAATCACTAAAATATGATACATGTTATTAGACGAATTAAAAAAAAAACTTCTGAAGCAATATTTTGATTACTACATATGACTCTCCACCTGATCTTTGTTGGAAGGGTAAACCAAACCTCTGTAAAATATTTTTTTGTTTTTGTGACAATATCTTGTCACCATCAGTAATACTTGGTCACAAAAGTTCATATTTGTCACATGCTCACAATTGGTCGGTACTATTGAATATACTGAGGACAATGAAATTTATGGTAGTCACGCGAGTGGAATTTCGGTCGGTTAAATCTGATTTAACCGGTGCAGTTCATGAAACCGGCTTGAATACCACCGACATGATCAATATATGATCTCTAAGCAAAATGATATCGTTTTATTGAATTTTAAGTAATACATTTAATTATTTATTTTATGAATTTAAAAGTTAAATGTTGATTTTATTTGTTGGATTCAAGTATAAACGTTTAGGTATTTGATGTTAAATATTGTATTTAAATATGAATATTTGTTATTTTATTTGGAATTTTATATTTATTTAAATATGAATATGGATTGTAATTAAATTATCTTCAAGTATGTATACATATGATTAAATTCATTTTATGTTAATGGTTTTTCACATTTTTATAGATTTTGTTAAACCGGCATGAACCGACACAAACCTGTTGTACCACCGCTGGAACCATTTCACTTGCTAAACCGGCGGAATGTATAAACATGTTTAACAACCTTGATGAAATCATCATTAGAAATACTTCGTTGCCAAATTTATATTTGTGACTGATCACTGGTATCAGTAATGTTGACAAGTTGTGTCGACGCAAAATTATTTGCGCATCCAGACATCATTCGTCACTAATATGTTATGTTTTTTACATTAATGAAATGATATCACAAATATTTATATTATTTTGTGACATCGTCATATCTTCATAAAAAAAATCTCAATTGAAGTCAATTGAAACAATATATCTTGACTAACTAAATATATAATTAGAGCATTTGAAACAAATTTATTGGTATTGTTTCTATCACAGATTCACAGTTTCCCAACCCGGATATTTCAAAGACTTCACATAGTAAACCTGTATTGCTTCAGTTCTAAGCTTTCATCTTCTTTTAATGGTAATAATACCTTGGTCTAGTGGTAATACCACTAACCTGATACATTAATCACAAAAAATAAATATATATCACCCTTAGAAAAAAAATCATACCACGATCATCCTTCTTATAGCCAACACATTCTCGAGTTGTATCATACCAGTGACATAAAAATCATACAAGCCGAAGTCCTTAAATATAACAAAACTCAATAGAATTTCACCATCAGTCTCCCCTCTCACTAAGTCACCACTATTCTAACTGTGTTTGCTCAATTTACGTTCTCTTGTGTGAAATCGGAATCCATGCATTGATATAATAGCCTGTGTAGTGCATTTTTGTAATATGCAATGTCAACATATTTGAATGAATTCAAAAGTTAAAACACAAGTTTAATAAACATATTTTAATCAATGAATTACTAATTACCTCAACTAAGAAGTTAGAACCATGTACTTAACCAATTTTTGCTTATGCACTTTCCCAATCATACAAACACCTCTAGCACTTCCTTGGAACACGTTAAGGTGGTTACTAGAATTCTAGTAGCCACCATGGTTACATTAGTATCCACCATCTATTTTTCTTTTTATATATATATTTTTTTAATCTCACGGTTAAAATTGCTTCAAGACAATTTTGAAAAAAAAAAAAAAGACCACACCTGATTATCTATATATTCTACGCTAACCCTAATTATGTTATTCTCCCTCCAGCCAAATCCTATGGAAGCTCTCTTTCCTCCCCAACGACGATGAAATCCGCCCACCTCCACCGGCCATCCCAACCTCTCTCTCTCACTCTCTATCCGAACCTCCAACTTCCGCCCGCCTGGGCCGACCGTCCCTATTCCTCCCTCAATTTCCGACCCTGGTCCAACGACCCTAAGCGTGATCGATAAGCGAGAGAAAGAATAGTCAACAGATCATTAAGATAAGAAAAATGTATGTATGATTAAGGTAACAAAAAGTGTCAATTAAACATAATTACCTTATTGGTCCCTAAGTTGTAAGAAATAACGAAAGTAGCACTCTTTCGACGGCCTCCAAAACCATAAAATCAAAACCATTTGCAAGTTCGGCATAACGAAAAAAAGAGTAACAAAAAGGTATGTATGATTAATGTAACAAAAAATAGTTAATTAAGCATAATTACATTATGGGTCCCTCAGTTGTAAGAAATAACGAAAATATCACTCTTTCGTCCGCCTCCAAAACCATAAAATGAAAACCATTTGCAAGTTCGGCATAACAAAAAAATGGTCCAACAACCCCAAGCGTAATCGATAACCCAAAACCAGAAAACCGACATAAAACCCAAACTATTTGCAAGCCCAACATAATGAAAGAAACGGTCCAATGACCCTAAGTGAGATCGATAACGCGGCATGAAACCCAAAACCAAGGGCAGCATAACGAAAAAAAGGTCCAATGACGTTAAGCATGATCGGTAACCCAAAACCATAAAAACCGAAAGCCATTTGCAAAGCCGACATAATGGAAACAATGGTCTATCGACCCTAAGTATGATCGATAATCCAAAATCATAAAACCCGACATAAAATTCAAACCATTTGCATTCCCTACATAATGGAAAAAAATGGTCGAATGACCCTAGGCGTGATTGATAACCCAAAATCATAAAACCCGCATAAAATCCAAAACAATAAGTGCGATTAATAATCCTACATAAAAACCAAAATCATTTGCGGGCCGACATAACAAAAAAAATGGTTCAACGACGCTAAGCGTGATCGATAACCCAAAATCATAAAACCCAAAATCATTTGCAAAGCCGACATAATGGGGGGAAAAACAGTTCACCGACTCTAAGCGTGATTGATAACTCAAAACCGGAAACCATAAAACCCAAAATAATTTGCAAGCCCAACACCACGTACGGAGAAAAACAGATCATTTGCAAGACCGACATAATGAGAGAGAGAAAAAAATGGTACAAAACCCAAAACCATAAGTGCGATTGATAACCCGTCATAAACCCAAAATAATTTGCAAGCCCGACACCACGGAGAAAAACGGGCAAACGACTCTAACCACAATGGATAAGCTTAGGGGGGAAAAAAAGATCGTTAGGGCAAGAGAAAAGGTATTAATCATTAAAGTAAAAGTAGGCCGAATTATGTCGAAGAGTGACATTCTAGCTTTAACAGGATCGAATTAGGTCGAATACCCATTGATTTGGGTTTAGTCTGTTCTCAATTAATGTCTCTTCACCATTTTCAGTCATAAGTTAATCAATTACAACTTTTTTTTATAAGGGTGATTGCATTAAAATATAAAACGAAACAAACTGACAGAGACTGTCAGAGAGCAACAAGAGTACAGGCAAAAATGATCAACAAGATTGATCACAAACAAAAATAAAAAAGGACAAGCAAGAACAGAGTAAACCCAATAAAGGAAGAACAGAACTTCCCCACAAAGATACTGCCTACAACAGCCGAAGAAGAACCAAAGCCAACCCATGCCAAGCAGCGACCGAGAAGCACCGGAACAAAGGAACAAAAATAGCAGCCACAGCAAGAAGCAAACCGAAGCAAAGTACACCACACGCCACCATCGATCCACCAGAACAGCAGCAACCGAAATCAAAGAATGCGAGTCCTGAACTCCTGCAAACGCCTGGCTCCAAAATCTTTATCCATGCTGCCATACGTTGTTGCCCAAACCAACAAGATCGATAGAGCTTTGCGGCAACAAACTGAACAAAACGAACGTCAACAACTCAAAGTCCGGTCTCGCCTCCACAAATCACAGCAGGAACCGATATGCAATTACACCAAGACCAGCATCGCCGCAACAGGTCAGCGAATTAACAGGAGCTCGTGCAACCAAGCCTCGCCCTGGATTTTATCTATCTGACCATGAGCCACCAGCCATTCCATCGCGTTCCTCGCAGCTCTTCTAGCCACCCCACCTGCATTTGACTTCTTCTCCTCGAACACCCGTTGATTCCTTTCCAACCACACAAACCACCAAATAGCATGTAAGATACAGTCTCTAAACCACTCTCCGACATTTCCAGGTTTGGAATGAGGGCTGTGTTTGATTATTAACTTCACCTCCCTGTCTTGAAAGGACGCAACCGGTCTAACCCTGTTGATATAACTCCACACTTCCATCACAAACTCACACTCCACCAGCATGTGATTGATAGATTCTTCTTTCCTACAACAAAGACAACATCTGTTCGCCAACGACCACCCTCTCCTCTTCAGGTTGTCAACAGTAAGAATCTTGTTATGAAACACCATCCACATAAAGAAGCACACTTTACTAGGAATCATTTTCTTCCAAACTTGTTTCAACGGGAAATCAAGCATTCCTGGCAACTTTTCCAGCACTATGTTCCTGTATAGAGATCTCACCGAGAACTTACTGTTTGGGTCAGGATTCCACACCATTCTGCACGGACTAAGAGCAAAGTTGTTCATGGGAATATTATTAAGAAAATTCAACAAATCTACCCTTTCCCGTTCAGCACCCCCCCTCAAATTGTATTTAAGATTAAAAGACCAACTCACCAACTCACCATTGAGGGATGCTACATCAGAAAGTCTTGCTTCGGAGTCAGCGGCAGCAGCAGCAACGCGGGGAAATGCAGAAGACATCACCATCCCTTGATTCCAAACGTCATGCCAAAACGAAATCATGGTACCATTTCCCGGGTCTATGCTCGCAAACTTCCAAAATAAGTCGTATTCCTTTGTTATGTTTGCCCAAACCGATTGAGAAAAACCACTTCTAACCTTTTCCGTCTGCCAAATCGAAGAGGGGTTGTGGTATTTGATATCGATAAGCTTGCGCCACCAACTATCCCTCTCCGTTGCAAACCGCCACAACCACTTGGTCAACATTGCTTCATTGAAGGCTTTAAGATCATGTATTCCCAGCCCGCCCTTACTTTTCTCGGTTTTGCACAAATTCCACTCCACGAGGGCCCTTCTATTGATATCACGCCCACCGTTCCATAAGAACCTCCTTTGAGTTCTTTCCAATTCCTCGAGAACAGAAGCAGGTGCCTTGAATAGGGAAAACAGGTACGTAGGCATGCTCCCTAGAACCGCGGTGCACAAAACCAATCTAGCTCCATATGATAATTGTCTGCTCCCCCATCCGTTAAGTTTACTCTGCATTTTGTCGATCAAGGTGTCCCAGATTGCCGGATCATTCGGTTTGGCTCCAAGAGGGAAGCCTAGATACTTCGGAGGATCTCTGCTCCATTTGCACCCAAAAATAGCCGCATAGAAACTAGGGTCAGCCACGTCACCGACAGTATACATCACTGACTTGTCCAGATTTATCCTTAAACCGGTCACGGATTGGAAACACACGATAGTAGCCAAAATATTCAGAACTTGATCGTGATGGGCATCGCAGAATATCACTGTATCGTCGGCAAACAGGAGGTGCGTAACTTCGCCGTTTTTGGTGTCTTCTTTCATGTAAAATCCTTCAAATTTCCCAGCTTCCCTGACTACTTTCAGCATCATAGACAGAACATCCATCACTAAGACGAACAATCCTGGTGAAAGGGGGTCGCCTTGACGAAGACCTTTAGAGGTTCTGAAATACCCTTTCGCTTCACCGTTAACCATAATAGATATCATAGAAGAACACATGGATCCCTTTACCCAACTCTTCCATTTCTCCGAAAATCCCAATCCTGAAAGAATCTTGAACAAACATTCCCAGTTCACGTTGTCGAAGGCCTTCTCAATATCGAGCTTAAACATAAGGCCGGGCTTCCTGCTCTTTTTTCTACTGTCAACCAGCTCATTGGCGATAAGACCCGCTTCCGTAATCTGCCTCCCCTTGACTGAAGAAAGTTGCTGTTGAGAGATAAGATTCGGCAGTACAAGGCTGAGTCTTCTCGAGAGAACCTTGTTGATCAACTTGTTAATGCTCCCGATCAAATTTATGGGCCTTAGGTCTTTGATATCTTCGATAGTATCTTTCTTTGGAGCTAAACATACAAAGGAGTGAGTGATGCAATCAGGGAGAAAACCAGACCCATGAAAATCTTGAAACGCCTTCAGCACATCTCCTTTTAACCACTGCCAACATTTTTTAAAGAACTCCATCGAAAAACCGTCGGGACCAGGAGCTTTACTTCCATCGATGTCGCGTAAACCTAACCAGATTTCCTGTTCGGTGAATGGCCTATCGAGCATACATCTCTCAGCATCGGTCAGAAACTGAGTAGCATTCTGGTTTGGAAACGGACGATGAAAATTGTTTTCATGAAATAAATTTTGATAGAAACCAACCAAACCTTCCCCAATCTCTTCCTTCTTGTCCAACATCTGCCCATTGATACTGATTCTGTCGATGAAATTAACTCTTCTCCTATAGTTGGCCATTTTATGGAAATAGCCACTGTTCCTTTCACCCAACTTGATCCATACTTCCCTAGATTTTTGGCGCCAACAAATTTCTTGAAGTAAGAGATTCCTACTGAGTTCAAGAGCCAGCCCGGTTCTTCTCTCTTTTTCATCGGTTGTTAAAGTGCGGTCTTCTTCATTAACATCAATTCCCATAATCTCAGCAGCCAGCTCTTCTACTTTCTTATCAATGTTCCCAAATACATCCTTATTCCAAACTTTGACTTTGGATTTAATAAACAGCAGCCTTCTAGCAAGAAGAAAGGCACCTCCTAACCCCTGCAATCTTTCTGCCATCCAACTGCTCAATTCCGTGAAGAAGCGAGGGTCTTCCAACCACATATTTTGAAAACGCCAAGGCCTCTTGATTTTCTTATCCTCACCCCATCTCAACAGGAGCAAATTATGGTCAGATTCGACTTTGTTCAAAGCAGTAAGAGTGCAATCAGGGTATAAAGTATCAAAGTCGTGTGAAATTAGCACTCTATCAATTCTAGACATGGAGTGCCTATTCACCCCATGGCTCCATGTGAACTTACTTCCGCAGAGGGGAAGTTCGAGGAGGCTGTTGCTGTCGATGAATACGTTAAAAGCGTTCATAATTTCAGAGCTTCTTCTCCCCCCAATATACTCTTCATGATTCCTAACCATGTTGAAATCCCCTGCGATACACACTGCCCCAGGATGCTGGAAATAGAATCCGTTAAGTTCATCAAGAAAAGCCAGTTTATCACTCCTGTCCTGTGGTCCGTAGACGAAGAAGAAATGCAAAGATTTTGAAGAAGTTTTTTCCATAAGTTCTATAGCCAAGAAATGAGAACCCTCTTCACATGACAATTTCGAGTAGAGAACCTTATCCCAGAACACAGCTATACCCCCAGAGCTTCTGACTGCGTTTTTGACCGCCCATTCGACTTCCTTCCTATTGCACATACTGCCAATCAGGGACTCGTTGCATTGAGACCACTTAGTTTCCAACAGACCCACAATTTTCGGCTTATGACGACCAATTAACCTCTTGATTCTACTTCTTTTGTCCGGATCGCCGAGACCCCTAACATTCCAAATGAAGATATTGGTATCCATAGAACAAATTTAAGAGACATACCCACCTCTCCCTTTCTTGCATTTTCTCGGGCCCTTTGGAGGAGACATCGCAGGACCCAATCGAATTGATTCCATTTCCAGCTTCGAGCGGGAACTCCTAATCTTTCTCTGGTGAATTTCCTCCGCTGTTTGAGAAATTTGATGTTCCGTCTGTTCTGACCCATCTACATGACCCAGGTCAAGAATTCTCCCCACCGAAATGCACGCCTGTGCCAGGCTCTCCTTATTGAACGGAAAAACGTTGGCCTCCCACTCCCGATTTGTTCCAACCGAGACACAAGAAGGGGAAGGAAGTTCTATTGTAAGATCGGAGATAAGATTATGATCCTTACTAACAGATGGCGGTGTTTCTGGAACCACACACAAATCTCCATCGACGACCTCCGCCTCCTGGTACTGAGCTTTCATGATGTCGTTGCTTTCCAAGTCCGTGAAGTCATCAAAATCTAACGTTTCCTTGACGATCGTTGTTTGTCGAGGAGAAGAAGGTGGCTCGCAGCTTCCAACCAGAAAAGTGTAGGGGGATTCGTACTCAGATGGAGTGCTATTGGGCTTTAGAACCCCTGGATGAGGCTTAACAAATTTCCACACTCCGGCCCATAATAAATCCCTCGGGGTTTCAGGAAGGAAAAAGGTACCACGGTGGATCTCAATTATAACTTTATAACATAGTTTTAGAGAATTGGGCCTAGCCCATTCCTTCGAACCAAATCGGCTAATCTGGACGGGCTCTAAGTCCAACCTCTCCATCCTCTTACCAGCCCAAATCGGACCCTCTTTTCTTACCCAAATTTGTTTGGTTCTGCACCTTTCTGGACCAAAGTTCCTAGTTTTGGACGTTGCGCCTTTAATACCTTCCACGATAGCCGAAGCGTTCTGCTTCGAAGAGGACGCCGGGCCAACATCCGCTCTTTCTGCATGCGTAACAACCTTTCTAGAATTTTCAGTCGGCGTAATGTCTCCCGAGGAGAAACTCTCCAACTTCCTTCCCGCCTGAAATCGCCCGGTCCGTTGACTCGCCGCCGGCTGTTCCACAATTTTTATGAAGTATGACTGAGAACCGAAACGTAGTTCGACGTGCTCATGAATGGGATGAACTTTATGAATTCTTAACCGGACGAATGGAAGGCACCAATAGTTCCAATCAATCTCCTTGAAAGATCCACAAAAATCCCCGATTGATTTCAGAAGTTCCACACTCTTAATATGTAGCGGTATGTTGAAAGCGAAGATCCAAGAATCTTCTGAATGACTAAAACCTTCACTCTCCTTCCACGCGTAAGTATGGATTATTTCTCCTTTGAACTTCATGTGGTTCAGATTCTGGATCCGAAGTGCTTCCTCTACGCTTGGGCATATTAGGAACCAACTTCCATCTGATCTATCCTCTATGGCAAAGTTGTGATCGATTGCCCAGTTCTTTACCGCCCACTGTCTGAAACTAGTAATATTGTCTGCCTTGAACGCTTTCGAAACAAGTACAAGACATCTTCCCAACAATTCGCTTCTTTCGGACACACCATCAGTTCCTATATCGATGATCTTCTTGCTACCTCTTCTAATGATTTTGCACGACCCTGCTCCATAAAACCCGACACCTTTAACTGCTTCGGCATAAAACTTGCCGTGTTGTTTCAAACTCCGGTCCCAGGATGATGAAGCCATCGAATTTTCAGGTGTAGCAACCGCTCTTGGTTGGGAAATCCTCGAAAGAAGTTCAGAAGCATAAAAATCCTGAAGTAATCTTGTCATCGGCGCCCATCCGCCTCCTGTTGCGGGGATAATAACTTTGAAAATTCTGTTCCTCCTGGATTGCTCTGAAATCTGCAAATACGTTCCCCGTCGATTACTTCCTCTGCCAACGTGAATAGACCGCAACCCGCTTTTCTTAACACAATACTTTGGGAAAAACCACTCCTTCATCGCAGCTGTCTGTAACAATCCTTGGAGCCAAGAGATGAGCTCGTTATCGAGCACAACGAACCACTTCTTGCCTCCTTCCTCCGTCTGAACTCTATACTGCGTCTGCTTGAATCTCCCATATTTGCATACTGACACAACCTTTGATCCCAAGAGAACCTGACGTCTGCATTCCCCTCTCGCGTCGCCGCCACCGATCGCTGCCTCCTCCGCGTCCGACCTGCAAAAAGAATAAGCATCCCTCCCCCGATACCTTTCCCTCTCCGGATCGCTCTCACAAACCCCTGACTCTTCGACTCCCATAAGTGAGAAGAAGTTGACGGACCTTGAGCTAAGCCTTGTTATGCTCTCTGCCTCCAATTCTTGGATCGGCTTCAGATCCCATTTACCGTCACTACCAGAGAGTTGGAGCGGGTGAACTACCTCGTACACAAGATCGTGGGCCC